GGTCTTCTACCTTTTTGGACTCACGACCCAATTTTTTAGGCCTGCATTTTTCGTGACCCACGTAAACTTTGTAAAAAATAAAAAAGCTACAATTGCTTAATGCTTTGTAGTAGTACTATTATAATTGAATAAATAAAAATATTTTAGTTGGTAGAATATTTAATAATTATGAATTGAAAATGTATAGAATCATACGAAAAAATATAATAAACTAAAATGCGATACAAAAAATTTAATGTGATGTTTGTCCTCGAGTATTTTAACGTAATAAATTCCACCTTAGTTCAATTTGACTAAGTGCAATCCGGAAATCATCTTCAGTTTCAAGTCTATTTCGTTTTGATATTTATTTTGTTTTTTAAACTTGATTTTTATTTTAAAATGAAGACTAATCGGGACTCAATTTTAAAACTTACGTGACCCAAAAATTGGTCGCGACCTACCGGTTGAAGATCACTGTTCTAAGGTATAATATTTTCTTGATTTGCAAAATACAATTATTTTTGCATATTATGTTATTGTGTTAAGACAAAAATATTTTTTATTGTTCCACGTATTTAACCAAAGTTTGATTTCTCAAGGTAAAACGAGTATTTTCATATTTATTTAAAATTGAATGTGCTACAATGATCACTCCCATTCTATTAATTGATACTGCCGCACAGTCTCAATCAAGCTTTTATTTAACTTATAGCTTTAATGAAATATGTGTTCAGCTTAACATTAGTGTTGCGCTTTTGTGCATGCCAATATAGATGTCTGATATGTTGCTATACACGGCAAGGGTTGGCCACATGTTTCGCGTCCATGGCCAGATTCCCCTCAACGACCTCTTTGTTGAAGAACGAACTGACAACCCGACACAATATTCTTTTTCAATCTATTCAAATAACAGGTATGAGGAAATTATTGCGAAAATTAGTCATCAACTACGTTTTACTTTAAATAAAATATATAATACATAATTGTATATTTGTATGTGCATTTGGCTTGATTATGGTCATCAAACAATTGATTCAATATTAATTAAATATTATTTTTTTTCCAGGGTAATCACAATTGCGGCGAACAGTCAGGAGGAAAAAGATAAATGGGTGGAAGACATCGCAGAAAGTGTTCAAGCATATAAAGGAGAACGAACAAATATAGAGCCACCAAATATTTATTTGAGTTTAAAATCATGTAGTAAGATATTCATACATCTCAGTTATATATTATAATATTATTATTAATTGGGCCTATTAAAATATCGTGTATTTTCTAAACCTTTGGGTATTTAAATGAAAAAAAAATTTCAAAATTAAAATAGGTTTAAATTCTGAGTGAAATGAAAAATATGTTGATTAAACAATGATGTTTTTTTTCTTATTTTACGCCAGAAGATACTTTTTACAGTGGAAAAAATGTTTTAATTTTCAACTTTAATATCCTTTCTGACAGGAAATTTATTCTTTTTAGTTTTTGTGAAGAGAGGGGGAGGGTTTAAAAGTAAAAAAAAAAAGTTAAGAAAAATATGAATTTTACTTTAAACCAGTTTGCTTATACTTAGTATTTGCGACTGCTACCTCGTAAAGTTAAATATTTATAAAATGTTCAATTTATATAGCTTAGGCTTGAAACTTTTATGTTCTTCATAAGTACTTTATATTTGGGCAAAATTAAATATTTAAATAAAGAAAAACTATTTGTTATTTTGTTGTAATTCAAAAATATTTTTCGTGGAGGTTTTAATTTTGAAGTTTACGTATATTATAATATTCTATGCTCACATTGGTATTTTCTAAACATTTAGAAAATTTTTAAGCTATTGTTTATACATATACCATGAACATATTCAATATTAATATTATAATAAATATAATTTTTCGAGAAAAAAAATTTAACTTTCTGTGTTTAACGTAAACAAATATATTTAATAGTACCTATACTAGTATATAGGCTAAAGACAGTCTTCACTTAGAATAGTTTTCCTTATGCAATAATGTATTATTGAATTCAAATTCAACATTCATATCTATATTACAGTGACTTACTCAATGACGAGCTTCTATTGATACCTATACTGTGCAGTTGATTGGCTCCTATTTTTCCTTTCACTCTTTTATAAAAATTGAAAAATGTTGAAAAATAATTTTAAAGTATCAGCAGTGTTGAATTTTTATGTTTGATAAATATTATTGCCCCATTATTTATTTCTCAACAAAAAGAGGAATATTTTAAAATAAAATGATCATTTCTTCAAATGCTTCCCCGTTACATCATTAACGCATTTTAATTTCCAATTTTATTATTATGCTTAGGTTCTTCAGACGATATGATGAGCAACAACGGTGACTGCAACGGCGTGCTATCCGAAATTAACGGTGGCAAAGCGCCGGGCGCTGTGCAAAGGAATAACACGACCGTTCACGTTTGCTGGCATCGAAACACGAGCATTGGCATGGCCGACCATCTCAGAGCCATCGAGGTTAGTTCCGACTACTAATATTATTGTTCTTAACGTTATATTTTTTTTTCAAATTGTTTTTAATTTAACATAAACCTTATTTTATAACCTTTTCGAACAAAAAATACTTCTTCTTATCAAACAAAAATTCACAAATAATCCTTAAATATTCTAAACTTAAAAACACAATGGTACTTGTCTTTCAGAATCAATTAAGCGGCTTTTTGTTGCGCAAATTCAAAAACAGCAATGGCTGGCAAAAGCTGTGGGTTGTATTCACAAATTTCTGTCTGTTCTTCTACAAGTCGTTTCAAGATGACTTGCCATTAGCTAGTTTGCCTCTGCTCGGTTACAGCGTTTCAAAACCTAATGAGGATGATTCCATTGAAAAAGACTTCGTTTTCAAGTTGCAGTTCAAGAATCATGTTTACTTTTTCAGAGCCGAAAGTGAATACACATTTGGCAGGTGAGTAAAATACATACAATTATTGTTATTATTATTATTGGAAATGTGATTTTTTTTTCATTTTCGTTGATATTATTGAATTAAATATTTAAACATCGATTTAAAAACAATTTTGTTGTATGAAATAATAATGTATTATACATATTATATAGTGTACCAGTGTAGGATCAGAATTATTATTCTAATGAATAAATGAACAATATTATCCAAAGTATCAAAAAAAATTTAATTTTATATTATCAATAATTAAACTTAATATTAATTTTATTGATACATTGTAATAATACTTATTAAAACGTTGTTGATAAGATATTTACGTAATATAGATAGTTAATATTGTATTCGATTATATTTAAATAATAAAAAATATAACTAACATTTGACAAATGTTTCAACATAGCTACAGAATAACTAGTTTTTAGTGCTAGGGTTATATAAAATGGACGTCTACAATACAATTATTACTTTTTATTATGTAAATTGTACATATTAATATATACCCATAATCATATAGGTATTATCTATATTGTTGGGAGATCTATTCAATTTTCGATTTCTGTCCACTATACCAGCTTTAACACCACTGTTAAGCCATCTATGTTCGTTATTATTTGAGTGAAAAAAAAAGTCTCAACGCAAGACATTACATGATGTTAGCACAATAAAAATGTGTGTAACGTGATCATTGTTGTGTGTTATAATGCTTATGTTTCCATTGATGTATGGCGATTGTATTCTACGATTTTTTTTTATCATCTGTTATACGTGTAGCTCGAATGAATTTTATTTGTTAAAATGTTTTAGTTTAATTGATCAATGAGGTAAAATGTTAATCTGTTCAATTAGATACAAATGTTAGTGTTGAGTTTCGATAATACCGGGGTTGGTTTTCTCGTAGGTTAATTGACGAGTCACTTTTGTGTATAGCCTGTACCTAATATGAAAACTTCGTCTGATGATTCGTGGCCATTTGATTGAAAATTGATTTGCCTACTTAATGATTTCTGTTGTTTGGGTAAAACATTGCGGTTTTTGCCATAATTGTATTATGATTGCATGTGCAATTATCTACTCATACTTTCTATATTGTTATTAATAATTGAAAATTGTTTATTTTTATGTTGGTGAACTTTCGACGTTTTAAATTACTTATGACATAGGTGTAGTCTAGTGTAGTTTTCTTCGTCGTAATATTATGTGTTTATGAATATTGAATTATTGTCGACTAAAGTAGTAAAATATCTAAATAACTATTTTTTTGTCTGTTTCAGATGGATGGACGTAATCAGTAGTGCTACACAAAATTCTGGTCGCATGAGATTGTTTAGCCGCAAAGATAGTGAAAATAATTACTCGGACAATATATAGTCAACAATGCATATAATCTTACAATCAAAACGTGTTTATTATTACTTTTTTTATTTAGATAAATATCTAACACGACACGTAATGTTAAGAATTCTAAAGTTATTTATATATATAATAATTGTTGTCATAAAATTAAACCAGGATTTTACTCAACTTTTCAACTTTTGTCGCATAACTAATCCATCCTCCCCATTCCCCCCATTATTATAATTATTACTATTATTTTTACTATACTTTTATTTTATTTTCGACATGTTCATTCGCCCATGATTATAATCATATTTTTAAAAATTTAATCATTTTGTATGACAATCATTTTTATTCTGCGCTATTTATTTATTATTGTACTATCAATGTAATATGTTATACGGAGATAATTGAACACCAAATTATTGTTTAAATTATACGAGTTAAAAAAATAAATAATTAACTAAACATAACAATAATACAATAATAATAATCATTATTATTATGTGAAAAAATTTGTTCTTTTATACTTGTTGAATAAAATTATTTTTATTACTATTATTATTTACAGTTTATAATTTATTGATTGACGTATAATGTTTATTATATTCACCCAATAATTTCCTTTTAAATGTCAACAATACTGATGTTAAATATTTAATATTGTAATACCTTATGTTTACAGAAAAATAAAATAAACAAATAGGTAGGTATGTATATATATATATATATATTTATATTAAATTATTATTTATAATAAATAAATTATAATAGGTTTGACAAATTAAAATAAATACATACATTTTCTGATCGAGAGTTCGTCCTGGTATCAAAACGTCACTGCTGGTTTTATTTTACTTATCTTTAGTGGCGTTTTAAAACCAGGACTAACGTACACAATAATAAATTAAATTCTTACAGGCTATTTTTTAATATTAAGGAAACATAATGAATAAAAAATTACACTAACTTAAACGTATATAATTTTACTTTCTATAGGACGCAGACGATAGGGTACTCTTTCGTGTGACAGACGACGCGTTTGAGCATTTCGTTGCTGATAAACACTTGCGAATCTGCTTACAGTAAAACGTCTAAGTCTATTGACTTGTCCCCATAAATATAATCGAACACTGTTTGTTCGATAGTATCATCCTCCAAGTATTGTGAACTTCTCATAGATCGTTCAGATGTCACCATGTTGTCTTCGCCGAATTCTTCTGTGTTGTAACGATCTCTGATGTCCTTCATTATACACGACTCTAATTTTTTATGCTGTATTATCAAACATAATAATATTATTTGGTATAACTGTAATATAACTATTATTTTTTATAGACCATTGACGTACTTTATAACATTTGAAAAAGAACATTGGCCGCACCAATTCTTTAGCAAACTTGTCTTTCCTCTCATCCGGTACACACATCTGTTAGCATATACAAATATGATTATGAAACGTTAAGTAACATACCATAAAGATACACATTCGAAGATAATGCACACTATGTACGATATTTAATGCAAGTAAAACAAATATTAAATGTTAAAAAATGTTATAATACAAAATATATTGTTTTTAATTAATAAATATTCCTATTATACGTAATTAGATATAAATGTATGTATAGTTGAAAAATTATTCAGAACATATTAAGAGACTTCCACAATAACATTATTGCTCTAGTAAGTTTCAATATTATTGTCTATACTTATATATGACTACATTTTTGATTATCTACATTATTATATGAAAGAAAAGGAACTGAAAAACCAAGGATAACTCTTAGCGAGGGAAGAATTTAAAAGTGTTCTAATTAAATTTGAATAACTAAAACGTAAGCTTAAATAACAGTTTTACATTATAATATATACAGTAAATATTAATGAGTAATATATAATCGTTTCACGAAAAGCACATTACCGAAAACTTTTTGCAGTATGTTATACCATCGACCATATCTTGTTTAAGTTCTTCGGCGATCGGTAACCTCATCACCCTATCGTTCATATTTTCATAGTCTGGTTCCATGTTTTGGTTGAGCTGTTTACAAAATGTCATGTTTAAACCAAGTATTATCTTAGAAAATACAAAAAAATTAGTCCTATTTATTTTTGATTTTAAAAACTAAATAACAACTAAAAATTCTTTGTATTTCCCAAAGGTAGTGTCCACCTTGTTCACCATAGAAGAATGATCAACAAAATAAATATCCACAGCAATACATTAATAGACACTTACATAACCAAGTTCCTGCATAACGCACGTGACGTTTCGAATCTTGCCGGTCATTTTGGCAGCCATCGTGTCCATTTGGTTGCGGACGTCAAAACTTCCGACTCTCTGCAAACGCAAAATCATCTAATTAATTTTGTGAGGAGTCTAAGAAGTATAAGTTGGTATAACAGTTTTGAAATACCAGGGCGGATCGCCGTATTTACTTTACTCAGTAGAGATTATCTTCGTCCGAAATAAAAATTTATTTTATATATTTTAGAATATAAATTGAAAAGACCTAACTTATAGGTACTTACATAGTTACATCATTATAAATATTATTTGGTAGATAACATTCGCCAGTTTAACTAATACATTAAGACAATGCTTATCTAAATTATTGGCTCTTTAAGAAAAACTTCTAATGTTATAAGTACCTACATACATACTAATCTACAACTATCTCTAGTCTTTTATACATAGGTGCAAATATATTGTGTTAGTGGTTACCATTTTTTAATTAATTTTATCAACATGACACTAAGCATTTTTAATAGCGGCTATGGTGTCATTATTGTAAGAAGAACGCGATCGCAATTTTTTTACAGGATCCGGACAAATGTGATGGCAAGACCATCGCTTATCGTAAGATTATTTTAGTGCCGTCCCGTTATTCATTTAATGTATAAATCAGCTGCGTTTATCATTATTTGATGTGTATGCAAAGACTTCTCCGATATGACTTAACGGCTTCCGCCTTTGTCACACGTTTTGTCAGAGCTCATTACCTTACAGAGCCGAACTGCTGATAGATTGTCTCCTCTTACACGGGTGTACAAGACATAACAGTTGATTGTATTAAACTTTGCTCATTTTATGTTCATATTTTTGCTACTATATTTTATATTCATGAGCAAAACACATTTTCTCTCAAACTCAATTACCTACAGCCCGAGGGAAGATCTATTTCGTTTTTATGATATTTGTGTATAGGCATTTATTAGGAACATTTACTATGTATATCTACGCGTAGTAAAAGGTAAACAATATAATGTCATTGATGATAGATTTTGTTAACTTGATTAGTAATTATTATTATAAATACAGTAATATTTAACATGCATGCATAGTCATTTTAAATTTCCTGACCTAGTTTAAAAGTTGATAAATTAGTTTATCAGATCAGCGAAAAGAGCTTTATGGGTAAATAGCAGCCAGCAGGTTAAGTATAGATATCTACGGGCTACTCGACCTAGATCAAAACTGAAGTCTATATCCTGTCATGCCAACTTTTTTTCTAAAACTAGTTCTTCTATATTATAATCAAGTGTCCACCCGGCATAATCACATTAGAAATACGTTCGCCATACGGTACGGGACATTCTAAACGCATGGGTACCGCGATGTACCATTATTAATTTATTCTGTATATCTATAACGATAATAATACAAACGTGCGTACGATACCACCATTAACTTGTTAACCTACTACGTCGTGTCTGATATATATCTAAATATCTTTAGTACATACGTATGTTTGGCCCGTAACCATTTCATAATAATAATAATTTACCGTAGACTGTTTGTAGCGATGTCTATAGTGTCCGTCTTTTATATTATTATTTATTGTGTACGGTGGACTGGTCATGTTTTGCATTTTATACCGCGAGTGTCGTATGCGATTGTGTGTAATATGGGAGACTTGGTTTGTTTTTTTTCCGTCGTGCGACTATGTATAGGTAAAAGGGTAGGTATATTGAAACGCGCGCGATGCTTCTAGTCACGTTTCCAGTAGTAATTTTTTTTATTATTTAAACGGCATCCGGAAATTATTCAACCGCAATCCAGTAAATGTGCGTGTATTATAATATTATACTATTATCGTTTCATTGTGCATATGTTTGATGTAAGTAGACAACAGTGTTAAGAAAGACGAAGGCATACAGAGACACTGAGAATACCTATATAAAGCGTGCATAAAATATATACCTACCTATACTGGCTATACTATGTACTTCTCAACCAAGGACATTACGAGAATTTTTTTTAATCGAGGGAGAGATTAACAATTTTCAAATATACACTTATATTATATTATTATTTAGTTTTTAAAACCTTAGCATTGGTGAATTATAAATAAGCATCGGAAAATGTACTACTAATAGTGCGTAAAATGATGCACTGTACAAGGGTAATATTATGCCATATGTAGGTTTATCGCCTAACTATATTATGTATATGGAGTCGTAAGAATCAACACATCACTATAGACAATAATAATACGCACGCATACATTGTAGTTTATACGTTATATATTATGTTACTTAAACATGTACACGGCATAAATCTATTTTATACATAATTAACGATGCCTATATTATCTTATGTTTATATAATAACGGTAGAGTTTGCGTTGGCGTGTGCGTGTGTGTATTCCAATATCGTTCGTAATAAATCCGCCGAGCGCAAAACGGTCGCATCGCATATAACATTTACACACATATATATTTATAAATTAATGATGTACACTGAGTGATTCTTTTATCGAATAAAATTCATTATTTCAAAACCTATTAACATTTCGTAAATATTTCTGTTATACACTCGTAATATTTACAGTTAAAATAAAACAAAATTAAAAAATAACTTGTATATTTATGTATATAAAAATGTATTTTTGTAATTTACTCTATACGATCATGATTTATACGATTTATTATCATGTTTATATATAATATTCGTATAGTCGTATTGGTAATTATATTATATATATATACACGTATTATGAGGTAAAATTCGTCTAAGAAAATAATAGCTATAAAAATGTGACAATAATAATAATATAGTGTACCTATATAGATTAATATAATATGATATTTATGAATATTATAAATTATTTAAATGCGTATAAATCATTAAAACACATTTTATAATTAAGCTTCTGAAATTGTATGCGAAAAACCCTAACCAAATGGATTTAAGAGCACCTTAATTTTTGTTATAGTGATATTGCTTTCATAATCTTTTTGACATGTCTATAAACGTCTTGCCAGGTATAACCGTCACTTACCAAATGTACAAAATATATCGTTTATCAAGTACCTAGTTAAGTATTATTAGGTATGTCAAAAAACGATGGGGTTTTATAAATTTACTAACACAATTTATATTAATTAACAGACTATTGAAATTAAAGTAATTCAAAATATTAATCTCCTGAAATTATGTAGAAGATGGTTTTAATAGGTTATTGTAATTTTCCGAAGCACCTCTGAATTTAATCTTTAATTATTTATTTAAAGTTTTCTACTTTATTTTATTTATGTTTTTAAATTAATATCTTTAAAGTTTAGTCTATAATTAAGGAATAATTAAAAAAAATAAAATCACATGAAGCAATGTTAGATGCGAACTGGGTGGAGTTGAATAATCATTTCTTGGCCAAAGATTCACGAACTAAATAAGCGGAATGCTTAAGTGCATTGTACGACAAATATATTATCATTATTCACCCTTATATTATTTGTTTGACAATTAAATATATGATATAATTGAATAATTCCAATACTTTTGAATATACATCGTATATATATATATATACATACAGATATATACAGGTACTCATTTAAAATTATAATATATTAGAACATGTATTTATTAAGAGTTATAGTCTCGTACATTTGTCGTATCTATGCAGTAAAAAGGTCATTCGCCCAGCTTAAATATGAATTGTCTCCAAACGAAGCGTATAAAAATAATTGTGTTTTGTACTATAGCTGTCTAAGTGATCATGTAATTCGTTCAGCTTATCCTTATATTTATTAGTTTAGTACCTACATTATATCCTTTCGGATAACGTGATTGTTATTGAAACACTACACGCATGATCGGCAACTGGGCAACACGATGGTCAATTTGTATATTTTTTTTCTATGTAATTCGTTTATTATTTATATGTTATAAGTGAATTGTGAATTTTTGATGAAATCGTATGTTAAAAAAAAATATAGGTCAAAATAAAAATGAATTAATTTGGTCATCTTACATCTATTTAGTACCTGTAAATTATAATAACCGTTTTTAAAAGTTGGGTCCAAAAAATAAGCGAAGTAGGAAAAAGGTTTTGAATACATACATCTTCATACATACATATATATAATATATAGCAATAATGGTTTATAATATTGTTTTTATAAAATTGTATTTTATATTTTGTATTACACGCTTGAATTATTCGACTGAGTAAACATTGACTTACACAAGTAATCAAAAAAATACTGGAAACTTCAATGTAAAAAAATTAGAAAAATATATGAATATTTTTTCCGTGGATAAATCTATAATTTTACTATTTTTATAAGTATATTACATGAATAATATAAAATAAATATGGCCAAGTGTGATATTTTTATAAGATATTTATAAGTTATGAAAGTTAAAGCTTAAAAAACTTATTTGTGATAGGTATTATAATTTTGTATATTAAATATTAATTATGAAATAAACAAATTATTAACCATTGTTAATTAATATAATAGAACTACTGATTTGCTTACTGCAATTAAAATTTTAATAATATATCATCATTTTTAGGTTAGTATTAAAGGACGAAGATAAAATATATAAATGTACCTACACCTAATATGTGTTGATAAATTAAAAATTAAATCCAGTTCATTTTAACTTTAAAATCATTAAATATAAATATAATAACTATTAAAGTCGTACAACTGTATAGATAGCATATAATTATAAAATTGTTTAAACACTTTCAGTTTTTTATAACGTCTATGCTCTGGAAATGTCACTCCAATGTAAGTTATGACAATATAATATATAGGCTATTAAACTATAACTTATACGTATTTTATAAGTAGGTGCATACTGCATAGTACCTCATATTGTGTAAAAGTAACTTCATAACAAAATGAGACTGCTTAGTAAAATGGTAATGGTAAATCACTGAACTGTAACTAATTAAAGAAATATTTTTATATTAAGTTGAAGCAAATTATCCAAATATAGTATTTCGTAAATTTTAACGAATTAAATGGTACACCCTATAACGTGTATCGCAAGTTTAAGGTTTGTAAGTATAAACACAATACATATTATTCAAATAACCTTTAAACCCTATAGTATCGATAAAAGTAGCATTAGTAGTTTACTTTATGGGTTTTCTGCAAGTTTCACGGTTAAAATTTGCATCTAATACACGCATAGAAGAATTTATCGAAGAAAAATCGTATACACTAGAATTTGTATAGATTGTTTACTGAAATATATTACATAAGTGAGGAAAATAAATGCGAAAAAGCGTGTATAAGTACTTGATATAATGTAAAATAAACTACTATGAATTTATTATATTATATTTTTAAATCCGTTAGTACAACCATATAAAGGGTAAAAATATTTTTTTTACAGACACATTACTGGGTATGTTATTGCCTCAAGTTGGTTAATGAAGAAATACAATTGGAATTTATAGCCCTCGGTCTCGTATAGGTGTAGACTTGAAGAAACGAAATTTGGTTAAAATTGTAAACACTATATTATAATAGTCAAATAAGCCCCTCGTATTTTCTTCTAAATTTTATTTTTTTAATGCCTGGAATAACAGTATAGAATTACGGACTCAACTGAGTAAGAATTTAACCGATAAACATACGAGTATTTAACTGTAATAATCATCCAATTGAGATCTGATTAATTGAGAGTAAGTATAACTGCAGTCTATCGGTGGTGTGACATTGTTCCTATCCTCTTGGTCCATTTATTGACTGCACGTATTTACATACTCGGTGATTATTTAATCGCAAACTATATAGGTACGTATAATATCTTATAAAATACTTTTCAGCGTTGTTTTAATTGTTATTTTCGAACGTTAAGGAATCTATTACACAAAATAATGATTTATTTTAGTAATTTTTTTTTAAATTTTATTAGGTACCAATAATTATTCTTTAAATTTAAAAATCCCTAGTTTACTTATAATTGTCTAAATATTATAAAATTTTCGGAGCACGGTGTAAAATAATCATTCTATTTAAATAACACATAATATATGCCGGACCCTATATTATTATCATCACCGCCGAACTTACCGAAGTCCGATGTGTGGGGAAGAATGGTTGATAATACGGTTGGTACATTTGCCCAGCAGCCATCATAGGATACGGTCCGGGATAGGACTGTTGCGCGACAGAAGGTATTTTCGGCAGATACATGTCGTTGACAGGGTTTGATGCCGTGTTGGGTGGATAGAATAGAGCGTTGGTCATGTACGACGGCTGTTGGTCCAAAAACGGCGATGACGGTCCCAACGTCCACGGTTTGATGTACGGCTGTTGCGGTTGCTGTTGCGGTTGTGGTTGGAGATGCGAAGCTGTTGCCGTAGATGCCGATTGCGGGTACGTCTGATGAGAAGACTGTTGCTGCTAAAACACACCATGCGAGACGTATATATTAGTAACAAAACTATTCATACAATTTATGCAATCTACAATATCTAGTATAATAATAATATATAGTGGTTTTATAAAATATGGTACACAGCCACACAGGTGGTAATATGGTGTACAGTTTTATAAAATCACACATAAACCGTAGAAACGCTCTATAATAAAATATTATGTGTGCTAATGACGGTTCTAAAACCGTTTTGTTTTATCTCTTTGAACAATGTGACGCATGCGCGTGTAAAACTAGTAGTTACTAAATACTAACTACCTAGTACTTATTAACTCGCGGTCAATAAAATATACTTATTAGTTATTACTTTAGTATAGGTATAGGTATACTTTATTATAAGCGTACATTAACCGAGTGCGTGCAAGCAATTTGCTATTAAGCAAATTTAGTGAAGGGGGAAGGTTCCATTTGCGTTCAAAATTCTGCTGTTAAAATTCAAAAGTTTTCCAAGTACAAAATACGACACCATATATGACAGGTGTATATTTTTTCAGTTCACGGGCAAATCGGCGTCGAGGAATATGTTTGCCAAATTTAGTGCCAATCGGTTCAGTAATTTCCAAGTCTATTAGCAAGGGAATTAACATCCGTTTATGTATATACATAAATAGGATGTAGCTGTTTAAACAGCTAAATTTAGATTAAATCATTAACCATGATAGGGTGCCGCAATGTCATCGCTTCAGAAACTGCGGAGACTATTGGGTAGAAGAGAATACTGCGAGCTGCAGACGTTTTCATGATTAACCCGTTACCGTTTCATTAAAAGCTGTGTGTCGGGGAGAGGCTATTATCGCGTCCGAGTGAAAAAATAAATAAAATTCCACCGAGAGACGTTAGCCGCCCGCCAAGTTCGACTTGCCGTTATCGCACAATACGAATCGTTTAAAACACGACCGAGGTTTGCACAGGTAATCGTCTTGCAGATCGATATGCGAAAAGGAAACGAACCCGGTGCGGCGTTTCATGGGACCCTGGTACGAATCGAGCGGTGTCGCTGAGGTGACACATACTGTATACGGAAATTATTATTTTTCCCGCGTGGAAGGGATGCGTCCGGGCGTGCTCATGCGCGGGAATGTGCGATGCTGATGACGACACCGACGGCACGGCGGCAGGACGCTACGTTTACACAATAATGTTATGACGTGTGAGCACTAAGCACAGTGAGTACGGCTAATAAGAGCGCGATTAGTAAAATATAATATACAGTGTCACGTTTTTTATTATTTTTTTAAAACAAAACTCTTTACGTGCCCGGCTTTGATATCAATCGATACGAGCCATTGAATCAATAACAGGCGGAACACGTGAGCGCTCTAATTTTCCCAAATATGATCGCGAGTTTTTTGATTTTTAAATTTTTTAGAGAATTTATTAATAGCGATATTATTGTATTGTTGTTAAATATTATTGTTTTCGCGATGCGATTTAAAAGTCAAAAATAAAGAACGAAATTGAATTACATTCGTAATATCTATTTCCCATTTGACACTCCGTCGATTGGCGAAATCCTGTACACAGGCATTCCAAATTATTGTTGTGTTTATATTAAAATAACGAAGCTAAACGCAAAAGGAAATAATATTACTATGTTACTATTCATATTAACTTCAGATATTTTTGCTTATAGTTTTTTATTTTACTTGTTAACTATAATTTTCCAGTTACCTATTCAATTCGAATATCACATTGTATACACCTTTAGATAAACCGAAATTCGTTGACTTTATTAACACAAACATCATGCTGATCACTACAGATGTAGGTATGACTATAGTAAATAATCTCAATAAATTAAATTAAATTTTTTTACGATTCCTTATATGCCAATAATTAAAACTTATGGAAAAAGTATTTATACGAATAAAAAGTTATGGTGGGCATATAGCTGGCCTAGCTAAGCTGGGTAAGGTGCAAAACAATATAACATACACTATACAGCTAATGTTTGCAGTTGTAGGTACATTCTTTTAAACAATTTTTTAAATAAAATTTATTTTATGATGTATTATTATTTTAAATATTGTAAATAAAATAGAATAAAGTAATTTAGCTCAAGTTAATTTTTACACCTACTCGATTAATAATTAAACGTATTACATTTAACAGTTTGCTTATTAAATACCAAAAATTTTCTAGGATAGATGCAATAGTTATTTAAATTATATTAATTTAATGATAGTTAACATATAATTTGTAATATTAAATTACCTGTATACTTACTTTATTACACCATTAAATGTATGTTTCATAAGTGGTCTACGTTATACGTTGTATTTTATTTATAAGTTAATTTATGTAAATTATTTAAAAAAAAAAAAATGTAAATATTTTCTTTGTTGACTGTTTTAATATTGAATTTCATTTATTTAAAATATAATAAACCATAATTTATTATTGTTACGTGAGACAGTACAAAATGAACATCATTAAAATAAATTACAACTATTTAGTACAATAATTGACTAGTAAATATAACGATTGAAAGTCGATATTGACCTAATAATAATTTCGTATGGAAACATTTAATATTTTAATCTATTATGGTTGCATACGTATAATATAGCTTACTAGCTTTAATTTTGTATTGGATTTATTTAATAGTTGTTAGCTGATATTAAATATTTTAGATTTTTTTTCAAGAATTTTTATACAATAGGTACTCAGCAATGGATAAATTATGGATAAGGTGATATGACGATTGATAAGTTAATGACTATTTTTTACATAACTGACAAAAATATGCAATTGAATATTTTATAAATATTTAAATAAGGTATAAAAATAAAGAAACACGCAACTCCATTTAAAATAATTCCAGTAGACAGTATCTACTCAAATTTTTAATTGTATACTTCAAGAAAGAATATTATTTTTAAATTGTATTCTGCTTTCTGCATATATGCAGTATATTAAAATAACAAATATTAAACTAACGCTTAGTTTTTTTTCACGTATTTAAAGTTAAGTACTTCAAAAGTAACTACAGCAATTCTCTAGCAATTTAACTTTTTTTATTTTTATTTCTACTCGTATAAGACATTAAATTGAAATTAAAAACAAATATAATCGTGTAAAAAATAAAATAGATATTTTTCCAAATACTGAACAAAGGACTCAAGTTAATATATAATATCACTTAAGAAACACAAACGTTGTCTAACAAAGAGATTATCTTCGTTAAAAAAAATTCCCCATACGTACATGAAGTATATTATATATAATGTCTTATGAATTATCTGGATCTTAGAGACTATCATATATTATAAGTAATTATCTATTTAGATCTTTACTTTTTTTTTAAATTGTATTTACTATTGCTCATTGTATGGTTTTAAAATGACAACTAAATATTATTTTAGTCATCGTCTTTCATTTTTTTTTTTTTTACATTAAGTTCAACCACAGAGGTTTGTTTTATAATTATACTGTTTAAACATAATACAGCAAATTTGTGTTTTACAGAATTAATTTTATGATGTTGACTTTAATATTAGAGTTAATTAACCCGTTATAAGACTTTAAAGCATGAATAATATCTAATAGGTACTTCATAGGGTTTTATTAATATTTTAATTTTAAAGTGAGTTATAAGTTTATAACTTTATGCAAAATATTCCATACTCAGAATTTTCATGACATCTTGTTTATATTTTATATTTATTAAGTAAAATAAATATTGATAATTTCCGAAGAAACGCTATAAATAATATTACCATTAAATACGATATTTCAATTTTTATGCAAGTTATGTAAAATATAACATTTTAGAAAATTATCATTAAATTACTAAAAATTATTATATATAGTATAATATATGATATTTAGGTGATGTATAATATATTCTCGAATTTTCGAATAACAAGTTATTTTTATCTTTGTAATGATTATTATTTTGAAATTATTTCTGTACGTTTGTTGCTTGCATACGTTTTTTATCATGCGTAACGACTTCCTGTAAATTTGTCATAACACATTATGTCCACTGAGTCCTTAATGTCCGAACTCAAAAATAATAAAACTATGAAACACATTTTTAATATAAAATAATTATTAATTATATACACATACGTATATCTATATAATTACGCGATACATCATTAAATTTGAATTTTATTAATTGTTTTTATTTTTGTCTTTATTACCGATATAATCTTAATGTAACTCGTGTTTCATTTAACGTTATATCTATGTTTGAAAAATGATTTATTAGAATGTAAAATAAATTCTAAATAAAAAAGATATGATGGTATAAAGCATTTTTTTTATAACTAGTAATGTTATAGATAATAGGTCTCTTTTCTAATGTACTTAACTATTAAAATTACTATTAATTATTTAAATTAGACTTTTTTCTGTTTTAAACTTATATGATTTTATTTTATTTTTTCAACAACTTTCACTTTAAAAAAAAAAAACCATTTTTTTTAATACTATTAACATGAAATATTGATAATTCAATTACAATTTAAAAAAACATTATATTATATTTGACATGACTAAGTTATACTGCTGTAGCTCTTAAAATGTATTATTATTGCCCAATGTTTACTTTTGTAGATTAGCCTACAATTAGTATAGACTTTGAATGAATATTAAAGAATAAAATTGGGCACTTGATTATTCATTTGAGTGGCATATATTTAAATTTAATTATATTGAAAATGTAACCTTAAAATAATTAGAGGTTACTTAAAAAGTATAACAATGAAATTAATTGCGAATTACGTGTCTAATGATTGTTATAAATATTATTGTGTCACATGCGCCGATGATCGAATTAGAATACAAACTATTGTTGTTACTCGCGATCTCGTCGACCGAATTATTTTTTGTCGTCCATAACGGACAAGCAAAATTCAATTACGAATTTCAACGGTAAGCGAAACTACAATGAAACTGCTGCGTGTTTAATTGAGAAATAGTATGTTTCAGGATAAGGTTATACGTATTCGCCTAAGAATCGGTCAAACCGAAATTTGGTTGGAAAACCATGGCTATGTACATAGGTGTACTTACTGTAACGGTATGAACATGTTTTTACCTGTTCCGAGGAACCATCGACTGTCGAAAAACTGAACATACAAAGGTCGACTAAAGGTGGTCATCGAATCATTCGAATCAAAAATATTCGAGAAGTCGGAAACGTGCACGAGGTCTTTGGACATGGACACTGACGACTAACGAGTTGTTATTTTATATGACAGTCAAAAATTCGGTACCAAGTTCAGCTTAGAAATAATTAAGACGGGTCCTTGCAAGGGTAGTTTTGTGTGACTATACCGTTACGCCATTGTACGGATGTTGAATATTAGACGGTGAGCGAAGTAGTCCGGATCGACGTGGCACAACGGGTGAACCGATAATCACCAGGACGAGTCAATGACGTACGATCATCTGGTGCTTTCTTTATATAATGACTTTTAATGTCATTTTTTTTTTAAACCTCTAACTTTATCGGTAACTACAGCTATTAACTGTGGTTTATTTGTTACGGTAGGTTTGTGGATCATGTTTAGTTTTATGTAGGACATGGTTTTGTTGCCAAGAACCCAGGTGGTCACCCATTCGAGAGCTAACAACGTTGGACAGTACTTAACCGCAGCAATAATCATTGACTACGCATCCAAACATTACGTAACACTGCAGTTGTAATGTGAATGTTGGTTCTCAACTTTCGCGTTATTTTTTTTAAGTCAAGATAACATAATAATGTTTTGAAGATGATTGAATCGTTATAAATTATTTGTGTAATAACTTAGATGAGATAGAAAATAATTAATAGTATTGTACTATTTATAAATATTATATTTTTTTAACTAAGAAAGATAACTTTGAGTTGATATTACACACGAAAGGAATTTAAATTTGTAGGTTAATTAATTTTTTTGGTGTTGATTATTTTATTTTTTATTTTTTAAGAAAAATATCATTACTCACCAAGTGCTTGTTATATCCGGCGAGAATGGCTTGCTGAAGTTTTGTTATGTCAATACCACTAGGCTGCGCCTTGCTGTAAGGCGTTTGCTCTTCTTGTGGCTTGGCCTGGTGCTGGTTCTGCTGATGGTGCGTACTGCTAAATTCATGTATACTCGACGGCGCTGCAGCCAGTTTTAAAGAGCCTATGTTGGGTGTCGGTACACTCATGGGCATGTTGCCGTTGCACTTAGCTGTAGCGATTTTCATTTCCTTTCGCACTTCTTTTACCACTTCTGGTCCGAAACAGTTTTCGTATACCTGACGATATAATATAATACACGTGCATGAATCGGTGTGATTATTAAAAGGCAATAGTATTATTATATTGTTATAATATATTGTCACGTTTTCTTTGTATTTTTATGAGAACGATAATGACATTTTAAGTCTACATCATTTTTGGTTGTAAACGTATTGTGGGTACTCTATTTTTAAGTTATACAGAAGTTCTATTTTAAAAATAATATTTATATTTATTATACAACTCAAATTTGGAAGAAAAATATCATTACTCAAATGTCTTTTGATTAGTTCTATGCAGATTGCAGATTTATCAGTGCGTTCAGTACCTACTCCTGTGTGATATTTTATAGATAATTGATATGTATCTATTTAACGATATTAAAACATTAAAAAATCTTACGTAAGATAGATTACTCGGTTTACTCATTTGCCACTTTTATTGAGCATATATTCATGTATGTTTATAATGTACATATTAATAATTATAGGCGCTTAACGTACCGTAAAAACGGTTTAAATATTTTTTTTTTGTTTTAGAAAAAAAAATGAATAAATATAAATAATTATATTTGACTCAGGGTTTGTTTGGGAGTTCCAATTATATTATTATTTACTTAGTAATGAAAACACAATTGATTAATATCTATTTGTATTTGTTGATAAGTATCCATTATGGCATGGCTTGTGAGATATATGATGATGGACATCGGAGTGTGAATAATTATTTTTAATTTTTGGTACTTAAGTAACAAATAGAGCCATTTTGATGAATGGAGTGAGTTTTTGATTGAATATAATTGACAAAAATCACAAAAAAATAAGAACATTTTATTATTCTAATAAATTTTTAAATTTTATTATTGTGTTGTAATTACTGCAAGCATTTAATCTTTTTTTTCCATAATTATATATAATTAATTAAAATTTGAATTCCAATAAAATATATAATAATGAGTAATGACTATAGAAATACATTGTAGGTGTATTTGGCAAACAAGTATTTATCGTTTTATCACATAGTATTATTCAAAGTTGGGTACTTTGATATTACTTATAGGTATACAATAGCTAAATAGCCTATAGACCGGTTATAATAACGATCGAACAATTTAAAAAATAATAATTTTTATCAAACATAAAATAATTACCCGGTAAAATATTTTTATAATTTACCCTAGCATATTTATCGTTTATGTTATTAAAAAAAAAATAGCATAAATAATATTTAATTTATTTTACCTCACTGTTAAAACTGTAATAGTTATAATAATAATAATTATTATTTACGAGTCGGCAAATATTTTATTTTATACTTATATTTATGTTCATTAACATTATAATATTACACGGCTTCGTGCCTATGTAAGTATATAACACACATATATAAAACGAATATTGATACGTTATGGGTTTCAGTAATAAATAATTATTAATTTCAGAACGATATTTATATAAATTTAACTTCTTGTAAATAATAGTTTATTATAACCAGGAATACTGGAATAAATGGTTGTTAGAGCTATGGAATTTTAACGTTCGTTTATAAAGTTGGATTGCTATGAACTAATGTACAGGTAATAATGTATTGATATTTTATATTTTTATACGTCATATTTTACGACTTAATAGTATTCGGCAATTATTTCAATTATTTAACTTCACATTTTAAGCAGACAACCGTACAGCATTTACAGTAAAACATAAATACATACAGTTGTTTTGACGGCACAGCCAATGGCAGTGTCAGTATGTCACACGTGTGAAATACTTATAAGAAAAAATATTATTCGTCGAACAATATAAAAATAATAATTGCTCGTTTAATGTGTAGATTCTGGAAGTAATTTTTTTTTTACGTCTACCACTGTTTTAATCGTAGGTCATTTGCAAAACAAATTTAATAATATTTCATATATATATATGAGAGTATGTGTGTATGTCATACCTTCATCATGGCGTATTTTTTTATGAACTTATCATCGCCGGATGTGAATGCCAAGTTCCCGTTTATGCATAGCACGCTAATAAGCGCAACAATCTGGAACACGTTCATAGTAGTACTCTGGAAAACAAATAAAAAACTATTGTTATTCTCGTGTATTATCTCATAATGCGTTGTAAGCGCACTATTGTTTCAACTCATCATGGAGTAAGATCACAACGTGTTCAAAAATAATTAATTTACTGATACTGTATAATACACGATTTGTAATTGTGTAAAGCGTGCAAATATCTCACTGCTCTTATAACTGTAAAAACTACGATATTTGATTTAATTTTAAGTACCGTAATTACTATTTTTTATTTAGACGAGCGGACTGTCTTTTGTGCACATAATTCAATTTGCTTGTGTTAATTTAGTAATTAAAATATTTGCAGGAATACTTATTGTATTATACAATGTGTCATGAGAGAAAAGATACCTATGGCTATAACTACGTGCGTTTTATCTTCTACTGCACTAGAATGCGTGTAGGTACTGTGAACGGACAGTGGACAAATGGTGGAAAAATGTCTTAATTGTTTGATGATTAAATAATTACGCGTGAGTAAACTAGAAGGGGGTTGTAGTGACTTCCCCCGATTCCCCCTTAATCTCATCTCTGAGTACATGAAATTTGAAAGTTTTTTATGTAAATTTTCGACTCGTATGTAGGTGTAAATTTGAATGTCTTTGGTTAAATAATTTAGCATAAATATCTACAATAAAACTACTATATTATAAATGCGGTGATGATGAAAAAAAATGTTTAAATACTTATTACCAATAAGTAATAACTCATATTATAATAGGAACATACGTCTTTCTCCCGCGCTATAGTATCACTATAATAATAATTATAATAATCCGTGATCATTTGCAAAAAACCGTTCGATTTGCATAATATAATAAATACATATTATATTAGGCACGAAAATCGCGAAATATTAAACTGTATATTATATTATTATAATATTATTTTAATAACGTGTTATGCGTCTGTTTGTCATTTTCACTGTTTCCCGTTATATTATATACCTATAAATTCAGATCACAATGCGCTGTGACAATCAGCATTGAAATTAAGACGCGGCAAAAAGTTAACATAATAATAATATAGAACGATAATTTACAACGCGGTCGCATGAATCACGTTGCGGTGTTACGGTAGTGAACATTTTCGCCAAAGATTTATCTCAGCGGTGACCATCATGTACTGCACCTATATATTATACGGTAATGTCGGTAGCATTTATTTTATTATTGATTATCTTATTTTTCTTTCAGACGTAATACATAATATACGTCATATTTGAGCTTCTGTTCGCAAACACATGTTGATAAGAACTATAATGAGCGGCTTTCATTTATATAAATTAAAACCTGCGTTTATATTAAGTAATAATTAATCAAAGTTTTTACAGGAAAATACCAGCCTTAGTACTAAATTACACTTTACAGATGATATTTTTTGTACCCAGCTGTCACCCTAATAAATATTTTTGTCGAATCGAATAATAAATTTTCTTGATTTCGTTATTCGTCGGGGGTTGGTTTGTATCTCAAGTGATATTTTTTTTCTCGTGAACATAATTATTGCATCTTAGGGATGTTACGTTCTCGAGGACATATTATTATGTCTTATCGCGGTATTTGGTGTTTGTTAAAATATACAATAATAATATGTCATATTATACGCATTACAACAGTTAATATTATTATAAATTGTTGTACTATTTTGTATGCACGCCACCGTGTATTTCGCACAATTTTCGCGAAACCAACACTGCTTGGATGGGACCCTGGTATTCGTTTGAGCCGCGAGTGACACAACGCTCGTGACCGGAGGGACACGACCGTCCGTCACGCATAGGTCAGGGTCGCCGATCGCCGGGCAAACGGCGCGTAACGTCGGCGGTGCACGTCGTCGGGCAGGTCGCGTGGCCGATCATTTTTCGTACCTACCAAATATTTACCCGGCGGCGCCGCACGCGCGATTCCGTCGTCGAATAATTATTATAATAAATACAATTATTATTACCGTCGGTATTATCAACACAAACGATCATCGCACACGCGCTATAGGCGCCTGTAATATTGCTAAAATAATAGTTATTATCCAGTAACAGTCGGGTACGTCGTTTCCCCTCCCGAAAATTTCGCACACAACTGACACGAGCAGTCCTCCTGCACTAGGAACAATTTTATCGACTCGTAGAGGCATTGCTTGAAGTATAATAATAGATTTTAAAACGCGATTTTAGACTTTATTTTATAAGTGTTAGAAGGATGTTTAAAGGTGTACGAATATAATACAATATTGTTACGTCGATTGTTAATATCGTGCGCGGCGGTCGGTCGTCATACATCTCTACGAAATATTAAATTTAAAAAAAAAATAATACGATTATCTACACTACGCGTGTACAATTTTTCTATAAATACGTTCCGTGCTTTCAGTGTTATCGTTTTTAAGTAAAACTATCGGTAACATAATTTATAATTTATAATGCATAATATAGAATTTAATGACGATACATCGTAATCCCAGTAAATCTCCTCGTTTTTACACATTCTTTATCAATATTTTGTGTAGATAATAGGTAATACGTAACGATTTTAAAATAATTATCAGTCGTTCGATCAAAACCGACGAGAGTGCAACGTAGTATTGAGGCCTAATGAAGTACTTGCCTCGAGCCTAGAAAAAATTAACTAGAAAAATAGATATGGTTATACGGTAAGATATTCAAATGCCCATCACGTAGGTACAACAATAATGTACAGTTTATATAGTATACCATAATTAATATGAAAAAAAGTATAAAATAAAAACGTTACCATGTAGCAAAAATTTTTTCACCACCACCACTACAACCGCTGGTGTCGTTTTATTAACTCTTCAGTAAAGTAAAACCCAATCACGCGTTACGTTTTCCAAAAGATTAAGTGCACAAAATGATGATACATATCGAAACGTGGTTATAATTTATTCAGGTGTATAATATAATGTTAATTGTTAAAGTATATGTGAAGATCACCGTGGAATCGTCGGTTAAAACTTATTCGCTATCGCCGATGACCGCGATTTCATTATGTTCTGCTGCGGTTGGCATAATAATATTATTATTATATACTATTATCATAATACACCGCTAGGTATGCGTCTCGCGATACCGCAAACCCCGAACACAGGAGTTAACTTTAAAATGGACATGCGTCAGTTTTGTTTGTTTTTCGATGGAAGTACGTGCCGTTATTATTACAGTTTCACGTGTACCTACGGATATGCATTTGAATAGTTTCGAAATTATAGGTACCTATCTAATATCTATAATATTATGTACTTATTGTAGAACATATTATTATTATTGGTTTTAGTTACAGATTATGGGTAAATGATGTGCTGTTACTGTGTTAGTGTATACATTTTGAATTACAACAATAATTATTATATTTATGTCCATAATATACATAGGTTTTATTTCTTGACTCCAAAAGCGCACATAGGTAGTGTTCAATTTCAGCGGTAAGGAGAAGGGGGAGATTATTTTGTTCTTCAAGAGTAATAAAAAAAAGTAACTATTTGTTAAATTTTAATACGGAACAATAAAAAAGCTTTGATATACGTAGGTACAAGACATATACCTGATAGATAGCTAGGTGGCTGTTTGAGTCAGGAGTAATCTATTTATTGTTAAAAATATTTGTATATTTTGTATTAATACTACGGTTTAATCGGTAGGGTAAAATTGATTGTAAAATGAAGTATACGGCGTATTATTTATGGATGTATACATCTAGATTCTTAGAAATCAACGATGGTATTTTTTCTATTCATATTATGATTATATCAAAACGCGTAACATATTTCTGTCAATCTAGATATCTATTTCAATATATATATATATATATATATATATAAATATACTACTGCTCTATACATTTTATTTGTTGTACAAGTAATATATTTATTTGTGTGTGTTAATATATATTATATATAATAGTATAGGAATATCGTTTTTCAACAGTGTTGTAAATTTATATCTAATATTAAAAATAATAATACAATTAGTGTGACACCTTTTATTTCTTATGTTGTTTTTTTCTGATATGTATTCAAAAAGAGGCAATGCGAATCTGATGTAATTATAACAAAAAATAACAATGATAAATAGTATTAAACATTTTACGTTTTTATTCGGTTGAATGATTTGTGAATTATATGGTACTATAACGCTTCATAATAATTTTATACTATCTGTACAACGATTTAAAAAAAAATCTGTCCTACCTATTTATAATTATAAAAGTGTCTTCCATAATCAACGCCTCAACGTGTTTGTTATTTTATTCGAAAAACTGAACTTCGTTGTTAGTTCCATTTTAATTTATAAACTGTTTTAATAATTGTTATAATCAGTTAACAATTCATGTTTCTTTATGTCATGTCTTTAATATCTATTCTATATAGGCAAATCGTATATTAGATTAGTTTTTCAACATGTTTAGTAGACTAGTGTAATATAATACGTATGACTAGCTATATAATATAGATCATCATTATTATTATTTTAGTTTATAAATTTATTAAACCTGCATTGGTACTACTCGTAATAGTTTTTTCGTTTTTACTCTTTTTTTTCTGTTTTCAATAGGATTAAAATGTATAACAAATGATAATTTCGAGAATAAATAAGTAAAATGCATGCCACTTATCGAATAAGACGTGCTGCTTAAGTTATTCTTGACATATATTTCTAAATCGTTTGTAGACCACCCAGAATAATTCAGATGAGTAGCATTATTATACTGTGCAGTGTACGCATATTTATATTGTACTTGTAATATGTATGAAGTATTATGGACACTATTAGACAGCCTCATTGTTAAAGTGAACATATGAGAATTTATTATCCTATACAATATGATTCTGATAAACATATATCATGTTTCTTATTTTATTTATCATGTAGAATATATAATAGCCATTCGTTCAACTTAAATTGTTTAAAAGTTTCATTACTCTATAAGATGTAGTAAATATTATAATTATATTTATAATCTCGTTCAGTATAGTGTTGATAATGTAATATTCTTTAAAAACGAAATTGCTCTAGTTGTGTTAAATAATAACTTTGAATAAATACAATATATTTAATACAGATTGAGAGTACACTAAAACATAAGAATAATTAATAAACTATTAAATTGTATAGCATAGGACAAAGGGCTTACGATATAAATATAGATATTAAAGATATAATTTTTTAAATAGCAAATTATATTATTATATTGGTATTAACGTGAAAACAAAATGCTCTATAATAAAATAACCGACTATCAAATTTTAGTAAGTAGATGTTAAATTATTTAAAACTAATCTCATTATAAGTCATGTCTACAGATTTTTTGACATAAAATTAAATGGCTCAGGTAGTGAATAATAACATTTTTAAGTTTGAAATGATGTTTAGGTACTATGTTGTCTTTATTAGCGTTTAAGTATAACCGTATCGCTAAACAGAAATGTTATTATTTTATTAATGATTCAAAGAGTGTCTGTAGAAATTATGAAAGAACCTCATAATTATGATTTTAGAACATAAGTGATAAATAAAATAAAACGTGTGACATTTTTAAGTAATCGCGTAGTCATGTCTAAGTATGTATAGGTAGGTAGTACGTTTTCACACATTAAACTCATGCTATAATAATTTAATCGTATCTGTTTCCGTTATGTGAACAGATCATGCAGTATGTCGGACAAAAGAAACATGTTATTATAATATTATGTTGTGATGGAAATTTGACATGTATGAATCACTTGATTGAGATTGTTACGCTTGGAATACCTGACCACACCTGATATCATTATATATTAATTTGAATTATAAATAGGCATATATGTTCGTCAATGTTCATCAGGTCTGCACATTCTGAATACAATGATTTATAAAGGTATACATTTTTGTGATCTATTTTGATTGCTAGTCGTCTTATACGAGTATACATTTCATTACTAATTTACACTTTATCAGTTCTGTAAATAATGTAAAAGACAATAGTTGTGAACATTAATTACAACTAATACAATCAATTAGTGGCTCTAGCGGTCCACGACGACCTCATGTTTACTCGTAATGGTTAGGTGTTCTCGCTGCATCGGTAAAACAAACACATTGTGTGTATTTAAATACACACGGAAGTAAACAAATAAAACTCGGTCAAATTTAATGTTAAAAATAAAAATGTCGTCATAACGGTATAAAATATCAATAGTATCCTAATGATTTCTACGTAATTCAGTCTTCAGATAAATTCCTGATTTTAGTTATCAATAGTCTCTACTGTCTATTGATATAACTATGGCTTATTTTTATATAGTTCGATTTTATTTATTTTACTTGCTTATATAAATTCAAAAGTTTTTGTCCCCGGTATTCATTTTTCTCCTAATCGAACATTATTCAAACGATCTTTTTCACGTAGATCTCGTTAAATTGATTACATTTTGTATTCAGTGACAATATTAATTATTTGCTTTGTACAAAACGTAATAGAACTTATAAGAAAAAATAATTTTTAAATAAAAAAAAAAGCTATATTATATGACTGTAAACAATGTCAATATAAATATCTTGAAGATAAATTTTAAGATGATTAATTTTATTTTACCTGAGAAAAGATTAGGTTTTTACTATTAACTATATGTTCGATTTGTAAGAACATATAGTTATATTTTTTATTTTAATATAAATAAAAATATATATAAGTGTATATAAATAAATATAGTATATATAAATATATATAAGTATCATTGAGTATATTGTACATATTATATACTCAATAGTAGCACTTAAATTACAAAAGTAATAAACGTTAAAAAAATAGTTTAGTTTTTGTATAAACTATAAACAATACTTATAAGAAAATCTTTATTTTTCTCAATTTCAGAAAGTATCCATACATTTTACGCAGCTAACAGTAAAATAAAAAAGTTGAAAAATAAAATTAAATTATATGAGTAATGATTTGCTGATCTTTAGAACTGCAGAAGAATACCAGATGAACTCTTACGCAAGCACACTATGTGATGCAAGTATGTATGTATGTATGTTATGTAAAAAATAAAAATGATAATAATATGAAATAAATACTTACGCGAAGGAATTGAAGATTTTGCTAGTCAGACTTGCCCTCGGGGAAAAATAAAGAAACGATCGAATCTATCCCGCGGAAAACCGATTGCTCGACTCGAGCTGTAAATATACCGACTGTAAATATTTATTTTATATTTTCACAGTTAATGCTGCCGTAAAACTATGTATATCGTGACGATTTATCGGACCAGCGATACACAGCACTGTAGCGTGTTCAGTGGACGGACGGACGGATGAACTGTAGGTATATATCCTCGGGATCGGCCGCCGCCGTTGCTGCCTCCGCCACTGCCGACGACGAAGACGATTACGTAGTCGGAGAGGGGCAGCGATAGTGTATAGGTACTGGAAAATTGTAAAGACAGTCGTGTGTACGCCTAGAATATTATATGAATTCGTTAATTTCGTTTTCGGGGTTGGCAGTTTTGTGTTTAACTTTAGGTATGATGGCGTTTTCGACAGTTAATCGGACGTAGGTATACGATGGATTTCATTTTTAATAATCTCCCTTCACTTATTTTCACTAAATTTATATACGTCTATAGTGGAGCTTATCTTATACCTACTTATAAACGTGATTAATTCACGTCATCTCTAGGTTGGATTTCAGCCTTCTATCCCCCCCCTCCTCTCAATTGAAGTTATAAGATAAATGTTTTTGAAATAAAAGTGTACCTATGTAGTATGTACTGGTACTCTACTTATAGCTACAAACATTTTCCTGCGCGATTTGCTGATTAGATAATAATTAGGGATGGGCCGATACCACTTATTATTGATATCCGATACACCGAGACATGCTGCCGATATAAAACCGATACCCAATAATATATGGAAATCTTAAAACAACATTTTTGGAAAAAAATACCTAAGCCGATACCATCAATCGATATATTATAATAAAACCGATACCCGATAACACAAATATTACCTAGAAAAGTAAAAACATTGATTATTTAATGGTAATAAATGATTATTTAATAGTTATCATATGTTTATTTTTATTTCAGTCTTTAATATTTTAAAACTATATCACGATATGTATTAAGCATTAAGCTATAACAAATTTAAAAATTATCATAATTATGAATAAAAAATATGAAATAACAATAAACATAAATAAACCTTCACAATAATTTTTTGTTAATAAATATAAAAATATAAAATAATAGAAATTAATAATGTTAAATAATAATTTACAACAAATAATATTTGTAATTTGTACAGTTAATAAAAGTATTTGATATTGTACTGTACGTATTATGCACTTGTAAATTGATACTATTAATAGATTATTTTTTTTTGGTATCGGTCACAGATATATAAAAATTTTGTATTTTTATATATCTGTGGTATCGGTTTAGAAAAAAAACCGATAGCACTGATACTCGCGATATCTAGTATCAGTTCTAGTATTGGCCCATCCCTGATAATAATAAACGAATCTTTTGCCAATCATGTACATAGAGGGAACAACTAGGAGTAAATACATTGCCATATCATGTGTCAAATTTTAGAGAACCATCAAGTATTCACCTGATCCCATCTAACGATCAAGATATAAGTAAGTGGTGCTTAGGTAAGTATATTTTGTTAAAAAAACTTGTTGATTTTTAGTATTCATTTAAATACCCTAAAGCTAATATCGTCAAAACAAAAACTTTAAACGTTTGTAAAAAGATTTTGCGTACACGTATTTTCGATATTTTTAAATTTCCGTAAGAATTATAACTTAAAACTAAACCTCCTATTGTGTTTCACTAATTCATTATTAATAAAACATTTTGTTTAATAGATTATATGTTTGAAATATTAAAACTATTTTAAATGTATTATTATTGATAATGTCACTATATTTTTACAAAATATATTCAGTAGCTTGTTATTATTATTCTTGTTAAATAGGGATCAGTTACAGTCTTACAGATGATAGAAATAAAATATTTCCCCAAGCCGCATAAGTCTAAATGCGTTACACTGGTTGGTAATAGAGATCATAATCAATTATAAATTTACAATATTATTATGCACCGGATGCAATACGATGGATTGTATGAACATCGCTCCGTTGATGAAGATTATTTTACTCATTATCGTAACAGAAATTTTGTGTGCGCCCATATTTTACGTTCGTTGTGTCGTGTATTCTTGAGTGAACTATATAATATCGTGTTTTTGCTGTAGCTATAAAATTTGATTTTATTGTATATGGCATTTAATATATACTCTCTCGTGACGAGTATAATTACGTTTATATATTATTGTTTCACCTATATATATATATATATATATATATATAATGCTTCCTTCCGTTCATCTTTCGTATCTATTATTTTTTCGCATCGGCTCGGTCATTTTTTTTTTTTTTTTACATTTTTTTAATGAACATAAGAAAATCACGCTGTGTCGTGATCTCGTATATTCACGTTGACCCAGTGACGACGACGACGATGACGACGACGGTGGTGCGGTACATGAGGCTTATAATAAGACGCCGCCAATAATGTATTATCTACGCGTAAGTATTTGTCATAATATGGCATCGGTGGTAAACGCACTAACGCGTTTATATCGTCGTTTTTTTAAAATAATTATTGTATATACTCTTGTGATGATCTAAATTCCAATTCTCTTTTTCTTCGCGTAGTACGTCGGGGGCTATACATACATAATAATATGACGCGTTATACACCTCAAACTTTCTTATAACGTTATTGTTAACCGTAAATCGCTAAACAATCACACTAGTATTCGACCACCCGATGATTATAACGCATTAAATGGGCCAGTGGTGCAACTAAACATTTTTTCAGTGGAAGGACGAGGGGGAGTCTATACTTAATTTGAAGTGCGGTACGTTATGAAACGGTCTTCATGTGAAATCAACGTAAAATCGTTAATAGTTCCTAGTATTATTTTCTAGATTAAATAAATATAAATAGTTGATAAATTATTTGATACGGTTTAAGGGGGTGGTAGGTAAATCGAATCGAAGTAGTTACCTTCGTGGCTTCGTAGCACCGCTAATATGGGTATAATACACAGGTCACTGAAATACTATGTTGAACAGAATGTGCACTATAACATGTGTGTAAATCCTTGTAAATAGTATATACTTTTTAAAGTGCAAATGTATTCTAATAAATTTAATGGTAACATAATTATAATTATAATAATATATTATATAAAATACACATTATATTAGTGCTATTTTATACATAAAAATATAAATAAATAGTTCAGCAAGTTGTATTTTAAAATTTTTTTTTATTTAGGTAACAATAAATATGATTATTGATTTGTATCAATATTATAAGTTATTTACTCGCTTATTTATGTGTGGAAGACAAAATAAACAAAATTTTTATTTTGTAAAAAGGATAATATTATTTAATTTTATCTGAAATAATAGGTACTATTAGGTTTTTGTTTTTTTTTTTTTATATAAATAACAAATAATCCTTGACAGAATAATATTGAATTCATCCATACAATTTTTGTAATATGTTTTAAACGTTTTTTTTTTTTTTTGTTGAATACATATACTTGTAAGTAAATATGAATTAAATAATAATGATACATTTATAATTATTTATGATAGTTTATACTTTATATTGAACTAATACATCTAATTCCGATTCTTGAGGAATGATAATGTATTAACAATTGGAAATTACGGGCCAAATGTTTTAAATATGCCAATAAATCTTAAATAAACAAATCTTTTATAGGTATAATCAATATACATATCATAAATAATTATTAATACAATTATTAATTTAATTTATATTGATGTACCTAACTTGTAACACATAACTAACACTGTATGGACTAATTTGGTTATGACTTTTATAGTGATTAATAGTTAGGAAAAATAGTCAAGTTTGGGACACGTCCCGAAATGGAACGCAAGTTCACTTATTTAATTTACTACTTGTTTTGGACTTAAGTAATATGTAATATCGTTAGATATTTTGTTATTATTACTAGTAATCTTAGTACATCACAATAGGTTTCACATTCAGTGAGTATATATTTGACAAAAAAGAGGACTTCACAAATCGTAAGAACGAAAATTTTTTCAAGGACAGCAAATATACGTAAATCAGTCTCGTCTAATATTTTGTTATTACTATAAAACATTAAGTATTTTCTTCCACCGAAAAATCGTTACGTTTTTAAGTACTTTTTTTTCATAGTTTTGGGCAGTCACTCTGCTGGATAGCCTGGATATAGTGTCAAGTGTTCCTCTTCATTGAGTAGGTCATTGTGTTAAATTTGAATTTAATGATAAATCATTGTAGTTGATTGTAAACGAAAAACGATTCTGGACAGACACAGTATCTTATCCTATATTTCTAACGTATTATGATATCGCTATTAGTACTTAAATAATTTTTTCAATACAGTAGGTTGAGCTAATCATTTCAAAAAAAAAAAAAAAAAAAAATAGCATATAATATTGTAAAAAAAATTGAAATATTATTTTATGTCATGATAATGGTTGTTATTAACTCACAAGTTATAAGCGAGTATCGATATGATAAAATAGTTTTATTATATAAATAGCTAAAATTTAATCAAAATATTTTGAATGTTTAATTTGATTAAAAAAAATTAATTTTAGTTTTAAGCAATAGAGTGTATAGTGAACTGATTAAAGTTATTAAGTCATATTATTTTTGAATCATAAAATAATTAAATCCATTATTTATATATTTTTTTAAATATAATAGTAAATTTTTTACTAAATTTTTATAAAAAAATCAATTGTGCCTATATATTTACAGTATTTTTTAATCATTATAAAATTAAGAAAAATTTTGCACTAGGTTTTCAAACTATTCGGCTAAACATCTGAATGTAAATATTTTTATTTAAATACACACAAAAAAAAAAAGAAGAAATGAGTTTGTTAAATTTGAATTTGAATTTGAATGATATATTATTGTATAAAAAAAATGATTCAGAGCAAAAACATTCTGTCAGAATATTAGCCTATATCACGAAGTATATTTTATAGTATGTTTTTATTTTTTTATTATTATTGATTTTAGATACATAATATATTGACGATTTGACCATTAGTATATGAGTAAATTTGTGTTGTTAACATTTTTTTAATAACTTTTGGATGGAGTCGAGCGACTAACTTCATTTAAGTACATATTTTGTACTGAATTATGAATAAAATTTTAGACTTATGCACTATGTCCATTATTATTTTTTTTACTTCGTTAAATT